AGGGAGGATCACTCACATTGATTGGATGGCAAATGGTGGCAGTATTTTGTTGTCGTTGATTGGGGATAATTTGCATAACTTGGTCACATGTGAGTGATGGGTCGATTGATAGGGGTCGTGTTTGCATGGTTGGATTAGTTGTGTTGTAATGGTAGAAACTAGGCCATCTATTAAGGACGATTGGAGTTGGGAATACTGAGGGTTTGAAGCCAAGGATTTGGGATCTGGGGCCATGAGGGGTTGCATAGAGTTCATAGGGATGCAAAAGTTGTTCTCAGGTATTTGGTTAACTGGAAAGTCAAGAGAGTAGAACTGTGTTACCTTTCTCTTAAGTTTTGGTTCTCGGCCCGAATGTTGGCATTCTCAGCTTCCAGTGTCGTGACCTTATCTATGTGCTGTTGCATTAATGCAATGAGAGCTTCAACCTTAGTCGAGAGGTTTGTTAAGGCATTGTCTGTGGTTTCAACCATGACACAATTCTTTGTAGAGCAGATTGCTGAAGGAAGGTTGATTGCCAGAGGCCCCATAGTGGCTATCAAGCTATAGATGGTAAAATCTATGGTTACAGAAGAAGGTCTGATATGTGAGGTTGATGCCACTGATAATCCGCTGAAATTGTACACAAAGAAAACAAACACGAAGCTTACGTAAAACATCGGTGTGGTGTCTACCATAAGCACTCCAATGCTCAAGTCAACAAGGCTGAAAGAGGCTATTTAGTGAGGGTTAAAGGAATGAAGGGTTACCAGAAGTTTAGTCGGAGACTAGAACTACAGTGAAGGTGTATAATTCTTAGAAGCAAGAACTCTTAGGTGCTTGTAGGTATAAGTGAATAAAGGATCCCTAATGAGAGGCAAAGCCTCTGCTTATATAGTGGATGTAGGATTTTCGAATCCTAGTAGGACTTTGAGTCCAAAATAGTTGATTTCAAGTAAATAGGAAAGACTTTAATTTACTTGCCTTTGTAGGATTGAGAGTCCTAATTCACATAAGATACAGGGTCTTGAGTGAATTAGGATAAAAACCAAATAGAAATTAGATGTATTAGGGTTTTAGTGGGATTCTGGACCCTTAGAGGATATTGTGGTCCAATGGGCCTGGCCTTGGATAGGCCAGTGATGAGGCCCAATCTGGAGAGAATCTGGGTTTAGGCCATGAGTCTGGCCCATGACATGAACTTTGATATAAGCCCAACTGGAATTGGGCCACGACCTTGGGCTACACAGTAGATTTTACATGCTTGGCTCTCATAAGGCCCAAGACAATTTTTGGCCCATACAACATGTATAATATGTCATAAGATTTTAATCTTTTTATTTTGAGAAAGATAATTGTTACATATCGTGTTAAGAAACAGGTCCTTAAATTTATAAAGTTCATGACAGAAAGCACTATTAATATATTAATAAATAGAATAGTGAAAAGGGAATTATATATTGAAAAAAAAATGAATTGGGGTGAACTTATAAATCAAAGTAATTTAAAAATTGGGATTTTACTAAACAAGTCATTAAAACTAAAAACCCCTTCGGTATTGGATTAGTGGATTATTGATAAATTAAAATGATATACAATATTTGAAATAAAAAAAGGAAACTTACAGTCACAAACTTCTCTCAAACTTCAAACTAGTCAGATTCTCAAATGGAAACCAAAATAGGAAAGTACATTCATATAAACTTCTTAAACTAAAACTCTTTTGTCTAATAAATTTAAAAGATAATAACTTAATTAAACCAAACTAGGAAACTCTAGTCTCTCTATTTATATGAACTTCTCAAACTCCATCTCATTCTATAACCTATTCATATAAACTCCACTCCATACAAACTCACTCACTCAATATCTCTCACCTTCGTGGCTTCCACTTTTATTTTCCTGATCAATGGAACACTACCCTTTTTTCCCTCTTCTTCTTCTTTTCTTCCATGAAATCCAACACCAAATATTTTTCATTCGCCATCTTCTTTTCCTCCACAAAATCCACCACCAAATATGTTTCATATGAAACAATTTAGAGTAATACAAAATCAAGACAAAAAAGGCACAAATATCAATTGAGTAAAGAGAAAGAAATATACGCACAATTTACCTTGATTCACCGAATTAACATGCTACGTCTAGCAGAGTCAATATTATTAAAATACTGCCTCACCTTTCTCATTACAATGAAAGTAATTTGCCCTATAATTTGCTATCACTCGCATACAAAACAAAAGTACGTTTATATACTATGTTTAAAGAGTAAAACCTAGTATTACAAGGATTCTTATTCTTGAGCCCTTATGAATTACTAACTTAGAGAAATCCTATAGTGGCTATTTGTTGAATAAGCCCAACCACCTATGGGCCCAGGGGTGCTACCCCCTGCACCCTTGCTTGTTCACCGAGGAGTGGGGCCCCCGCCCACTTACCAGGCAGCGGGAACCCTAAATGCGTCTGCATGGCCCGTTATTGTTGAAGTGGTTGACAACTCTAACATCATTTACCATCGATGCAACACCAACACCCTCCCACCCAAATCTTCCCTTTCTATCCTCACTCTAACTCTGCCATCCAACTCCGCCAAAATAGTTTTTATACTTTTCCTGGTTTTAAGTTTTGTCCAACTGATCATCAGTTAATTTCTCATTACTTGTACAGCAAAATTTTTGGTTTACAATTGTCCATTTGTCATATCAAAGATTGTGATCTTTATGGTTCTCAAGAACCTTAGGAGATATGGGAGTTTTACAAAGAACAATTTGAGGATGGTGAGGATCTTTACTTTTTCACTGCCTTAAAGAAAATTTCTAGTAAGAGCAAACAAATTTGTAGGAGAATCAGTTTTGGTTCTTGGCAAGGTGCCAGAAACCAGATAAATACATGAAAAGAAAGGGTCCGAACATGATGGAGAGTGGATAATGCATGATTATGTTCTTTGTTAGATTCGAAAGAATGATCAGCCAACTAAGAGAAGGGGTTTGGAAAAAAAAGAGGAAGTCGCATGAAGTTGAGTTTTTTTGTTAAAGTGTGAACCCATTTTGGTGAGCTTGAACTTAACAATGGAAGAAGAAGAAAGTTGCAGCAAAACGTTAAAGGAAGATGGCCGCCTGGTGGCGTGCACTGGAGTAGAGGACGGCCACTATGGCGACAAGAATTTCCACTATGACGAGCGCTAAGAAATAGCGTGTAAACCCTGCGTCAGTGTTCCGATGCTATAAGGTATGTAATTCTGCCCTTAAAAAGGATTTTTTCATCAATAAAAGGGTAAAATGGTCATTTTACATGCATTATGAAACATGAATGTTGTAAAGTGTTAGGAATTGATGATACTGATAAGAAATATGGTTAAAGGGTCATGAAGGAGGTTAGTAGGGTTAAACCGCATAAACGGTTCTCAAGGGGTATAATGGTCTTTTCACAATAATATATAGGAATCAAGTATCCATAAAAGTGTATTGTGGGTAAATTAGTTAATTATCTTATGGAATACTTAGTCAGCAAGTAGAAAAGAGAAGTCAAATGGCATTAAAGGTGTGTAATAATTATGTTGTAGTGGAAATGACCAAAATGCCCTTATATGCAAAATTTATACCAAATGACCTACATGTCTAACTTTTGATGGCCAAGTCCATTTGTGAATTAAAAAAATGAAATTTTTATAAGATTTTTTTTGGTTTAGTCGGCCAACACTCTTAGAACACCAAACTTTCTTATTCAAGTCTTATTTTCCTCAATTAAAGGCTTTAATTCAAGCTCTCTCTCAAAATTTTCATAGGATTTCAAGTTGAATTTTGAAGGAGATCCATCCACACTTAAAGAACTTAAATTTCAGGGTTTAAGGTGAGTTTTAAAACCCTAGTTTGTTGTATTTTTAGTTAAAAGAGAAATTCATAAGTGGTTATATGTGTAAAGGTAGAAAGCGTGAACCTTTGGAGATAAGGAGGAGTGTCTTTGTGCTTTGAATACTAAGGTAAGGAAAAAAAAAAATCTCCCTTATGACTAAAATTGATAACAGCTAGGGTTGATGAAACTTACATTTATTTATGTTAATTTGAGTGTGATGCTATGTTTTAGTTATGGAGTATTTAAATGGGTGTGTTGATTAGTGTATGTGTGCATATGGAGGATGATTATGCCAATTAAAAGATTTGTAGTTGGGCGATGTCTGGGCACATTTTGGTTTTGTAAAAAGGGAGGTTTTTATGGCCTTTTATACTTATAGTGATATGGAAAATACTATGAATGTGCAACTGAATGTGACATAGTTAAAAATGAATAGAATTCGGATTTGGCTTCGGCTTTGGCTTTTTAAGACTTATACTGTACATGCTTCACTGAATCGGTTATAACTGAAGTTATAAAAGTCGGCTTGAGCTGATTCTTGAAGTATTAAAAATTTCAAAAGTAGACCTAAAACTTTTATGTTTTAGCCAAAAATCAATTCGAATTGGAAGATGAGGAAAAAATTGCTTGAAAAGTGACAAACTATATGGCATCCACCTCCTTAATAAAAATTCCCATCTTTTTAATAATTTCTAATAAACCACTGAATAATCTTACTGTTGAAATTCCTTGTGTTTTATGAGAAATCGAATGAATTTAATAGGAAAATATTCATGTCAAGGAGTTTTGCTAAATTGATTGATGAATTGTGCAATTGGCCAAGGGTACATGTTAAATGAATGAATAGTATGATTGAATGTGGGAGATGTTATCCCATATGTTTGCATTCATAATGGTAATGCATATAGCTTATTTAGTTGACTTATGAAAAAATTTATGAAATGTTAAGGAATGAATTCCATGAGTCTCTTGAGGTGTAAAACAAGATTAGAGGAATGGAATCTTTGTGGAAACCATTAGTTCTTTGATGTGACTACCAAGAACAAGGTAATGGTTCAAATGAATCCTATCATATAATAAAGACTAATGAAAACTTCAAGTACAAAGACAAAAGAAATAGGCATGCCATGTTTATGAATATTGCATAAGTCATATATGTTCTATGTTATATTATGTATGGTTATGTTATGACCTATGTTGATGAGGAAAGTCCAAANACGGTGTTAAAGATTGATCCACAAAACCCCGGAACAGAGATTGCAGCTGAAACTGCTGCTGCACTGGCTGCTTCTTCCGTTGTCTTTAGGACTATTGACCGTCGCTATTCCCATCAACTCCTCAACATAGCCAAGCTGGTATTATATCATCATAGTTTTTGTCTCACATAGTTTCTCCCCCATGTTTCAATTTGCATTATGTAATATTTTTTTCTTTCTTGGCAGCTGTTTCAATTTGCTAATACACATAAAGGAACTTACGATGGAGAATGCCCCTTCTATTGCTCTTATTCTGGCTATAATGTACATACTCACTCCGTGCAGTTCGATATAAAATGTCTCTAATTTCTTAAAAATTTTTATTTAATAATGGAAAACAAAGTCAAAATTATCTTAAGATGTTTTGGCCGATGATAATGTTTGCAGGATGAGTTGTTGTGGGCTTCAACATGGTTGTACTTTGCCACCAAGAATTCTAAGTATATTCAATACATTAGAGAAGACGCCATCAGCGCTAGTGTAGCCGAGTTTAGCTGGGATCTTAAATATTCTGGAGCCCAAATTTTGCTCTCTGAGGTCTGTTATCTTAAAACAATGTTTGAGATTGGTAATATAACTGCATTAGTGAAACTTTTTTGAGAATTCCATTGATTTCTTTCCCTGAAAATGCAGTTCTTCTTTCAAGGAGACAAGACATTGGCAACCTACAAGAATCAAGCTGACAGTTTTATTTGTTCAAATCTTCCTAATAGCCCTTATCACCAAACTTTCATCAGTCCAGGTATGTCGTACACTAAAGATCTTCTCTGTACCAGATGAATTCACTTAATTGGCATTAATTATTAAAAATGTTCTTTTGATTTAAGGTGGCATGATTCACTTGAGAGATGGAGCCAACACTCAATATGTTACAGGTGCAGCACTACTGTTTAGCATATACAGTGATACACTTGCCAGACATAACCAAAAGGTGAATTGCGGCGATAAACAATTCGACTCAAACCACGTCATGACTTTTGCTAAGCAACAGGTATATATATACTAAAATCAAAGCACAAAACAACTCTTATAATAGCTTTATAAACAAACAATAACCGGATAAATTATGTCAAAATTGCAGATGGATTACATTCTAGGGAAAAACCCGGAAGGAAGATCATACATGGTTGGATTTGGCAAGAACCCACCAACACAGGCACATCACAGGGGAGCTTCAGTTCCAAAAACAGTAGTAAACTCGGCCGTGAGTTGTTCAATGAGCTTTACAACTTGGTTCAATAAAGATGAGTCAAACCCTAATGAGCTAACAGGAGCCATTCTAGGAGGACCAAACCGATATGATAAGTTCACTGATAAACGTTGGGATTCATCAAACACTGAGCCATGCACTTACGTAAACTCACAGGCAGTTGGTGTCTTGGCTAAACTTGCATGTCCACCGAAGTCTCTTAATTAATTAATTTGATTTGATGTTAATTTGTATTATATATTTCAATCTTAAGAACTCTCCATTATATTTTGTATGGAGAAGCTTTAGATTGTAATATTCTTAAAAGTATATTTAATTAATCCTTTCCTTTAAAGCAGGAATCTGTTGGAGATGATCAATAAAACTTTATTTTAGTTAGGTTCTTGGATTATTTTATAGATATGCAAAAAATATTATTTGTAGTATCCAAATTTAGGAAGGTAATTTGGTAAAACCACAAGGAATTAATGTTCTGCTATCCATCTTTTGACAATATATTCTTTCCTAAACTTAGAGAAATCTTATGTAAATTAAAATTAGTATCTTGATATAAATGAAAAGAGGATATTAATACAATAATGAGATAATTATATCCCTAAATCATATCCTAATCTAAATAATAGCTCTTACCATGTCTTATCCCAAGACTTCTTGGCCGATCTAAAAGCCTCTTCTATCGAGGAAACCATATCAAAGATAAACCCATAAATATCATGACATACACTCTTAAATTTAATCTGATAATATAGCGATTTGATTCCTGGCTTAAGTGTCTGAGTGCCAACATTGGCAAATTTGACTCTATGTATCGGAAAATTAGTTTGCCCTAATTATGACAGGTCCTGACATAGGGATCTAGGGGTTGGAGCACTTAGAATAAAATTAGTTTGCCCCAACACCACATCCTAATGCAGGGTTTGGGATGGGGTCAGTGCACTTACAATACGCCAAGGAAGCGTCGATGTATTAATCAATATCTCGATGCCCACTTTGTCAGGGTAATGGACACCGTTGAATAATGGAGTGTCTAGTGAGTCACAAATTGTTGAATGGTGAACCTATTTTGGAGAATGTTAAGTTGTCCGTAGTTGAAGAAAGCTGCCACAGAACGTTGAAGAAAGCTAGCCATCAGGTTGTTGTGGCGACAAAAAAGATCGCCGTAGCGTGCGCTGGAGTGGAGGACGATCGCTGTGATGACAAGAATTACTCCCGCAATGAGCGCTAAGAAGAAGTGATAAACGTGGACGAGAGAGCGATTGTTGCAGCAAAGGAATTGGTTGCCATGGCATGCATCCTGAATCCGAGTTGTTGAGTTTTATTTACTTTCCTATTTTACATAGTCTTGTTTTAGAATAATTCATATTCAATAGGAGATTTGTTTGAGTTTGATTAGGAGAATAAATTTCGATTCCTGTGTTTACAAGAGATCTCTACCATATTTGGAAAGTGAAAATGAAAAGGTTTCTACAAGCTGCCGATTTGTGGGAAGTTACTACAATGGGAGGGGACTTTCTAGAATTACTAGAGGATCCAATGATCGCTCAAATGGAATTACAAAAGGCAACAGATATGAAGAGAGCAATGACTCTATCATATTTGCAATCAGTTGTGACCGATGCGAATTTTGTGAAGATCATTGCCTGCATTACCGTCAAAGAGATTTAGGAGAAGTTACAAACAGAGTATCAAGGTTTTGAGAAAACAAAGAACATGAAGATCATTACATTGAAGCGACAACTTGAAAATATGAGGATGACTGAAAGAGAGAGTGTATCGCAATATTCTCATAGGCTAATGACGCTTGTGAATGAAATTAGAATCTTGGGTGAAAACCTTCCAGAGGAGAGGGTTGTAAAAAAAGTTTTAATAAGTTTTCCAAGAAAGTTCAAGTCCAAGATTTTGTCTCTTGAAGATTCAAGGGATATTAGGTCAATGTCATTGGTCGATTTGATGAGTGTTCTTGAAGCACAAGAACAAAGAAGGAAGATGAGAAGTGAGAACGGGTTAGAGGATGTTTTGCAAACAAAGCTATGATCAAGTCCAATTTCCAGAGAAACAGAGGAAAGTCTAGTAAGGGCAAGGAAAATGGTAAGAAGAAAGGTCAAGTCTTTTGTAATTATTGCAATAGAGCAATCATACATAAGTTGATTGTTGAAGAAAGAAGAAAACCTCCTCATCAAAAACATGTTGGTTTTATAATAAACCGGGTCACTTTAAGAGAAAGTGTGATCAAAAGAAGAATCAACAGCAAGCACAATCTAATCAACCAGGACAACAACAAGTTAACATTGCGGAAGAAGAAGATAAAGAAGAGTTGTTGTTTACTGCATTGATGGTGGATGCTAAAGAACAAAATAACTCTTGGTTTATCGATGGTGGATGTACTCAACATATGACTGGCAAGGAAGAAATATTCACGCATTTGGAAGATATGAAATGGATAGTGAGACTAGGTAATGGAGATAGAGTTCAAATCAAGGGAAATGACACCATAACTGTACCAACAACAAAAGGAATTAAATCTATCACTGATATTCTTTTATTACCTGATTTAAATCAAAATTTATTAAGTGTTGGTCAATTAATGCAAAAGGGATTTAAGCTTGAATTTGTTGATAGTGAATGTAAGATAAAGGACCCTAGTGGAGTAGAGTTTATGATTGTGTCCATGAAAGATAGAAATTTTATAGTGAATGGAACTCTATGGACATCAATGCCTTTAGTAGTAAGGAGAAGAATGAGTCGTTGTTATGGCATAAACAGTTAGGGCATTTCAACCTCAATTCAATTAAATTCACTGTAGATAAAAATATGGTGAATGATGTTCCTACTATAGGTGTTAGTAATGACGTGTGTGAGAGTTGTCAACTAGGGAAAAAACATAGGGCACCATTTCCTAGTTCAACAACTTAGAGAGCCAAAGAGAAATTTGAATTGGTTCATTCGAATTTATGTGGACCACTAAAGATGTTGTCCCTAAATGGAAGTAGATATTTTTTATTGTTCATTGATGATGCAACGAGGATGACGTGGATATATTTTTTGAAGTTAAAATCTGATGTGCTTGGTGTGTTTATGAGTTTCAAAGCAATGGTGGAAACTCAAAGTGAAACTTCTTTAAAATGTCTAAGGACTGATAATGGCAAGGAGTTTTCCTTTACCGAATTTGACTCTTTTTGTGTAGATTATGGAGTTCAATGTCAATACACCATGAGCTATTCCCTACAGCAAAATGGAGTAGCTAAAAGGAAAAATAGAACTGTCATGAAGATGGCTCGATGCATGTTTAGCTAAGAAAAATATGCCTAAAGAATTTTGGGCTGAAGCTACGAATACTACAATTTATTTGTTGAATAGATTGCCGATAAAAGCTATGAGTGAGAAAATGCCTAGTGAAGGTTGGAGTGGAGTAAGCTTGATAAGAAGGTGGAAAAAGTGGTGTTCGTAGGATATAGCAGCCAAGCGAAAGGATATAGGGTGTATAACCTAACTTTGAAGAAAATCTCAGTGAGTAAATATGTAGTGTTTGACGAAAAAGCTTCATAGAGTTAGGAGATACAAAAAGAGGTTCAAATTGAAGAGTCCTTGGAAGATAACAATGAAGAAAATAAAGAGGTGGATGATGTGGGTATTAGAGGTACTAGGTCTCTTGAGGATATCCATCAAAGATGTAGTAGTGCCATGTTAGAACTAACCTCGTTTGATGAATCACGCTTGATCAAAGGATGGAGAGAGGCAATAGAAGTTGAAATTGCCATTATTGAAAAAAATAAGACGTGGGAGCTTGTTGATGCACTGAAAGGAAAAAAAGTAATTAGTGTGAAATTGGTTTATAAAACTAAGCTAAATCTGGATGGGACGATTCAAAAGTTGAATGTTAGATTAGTTGTGAAGGGCTATTCACAAATAGCTGGAATAGACTATTTTGATATGTTTGCACTGGTAACTAGATTAGACACCATGAGGCTTTTAATTGCCTTATATGCTCAAAGGAAGTGGGAGATACTTCATCTTGATGTCAAGTTGGCATTCTTAAATGGCTAGCTTGAGGAGTAGATTTATGTAGAACAACCTGAAAGGTTTGTTGTCCATAGGAATGAAGAGAAGGTGTACAAGTTGTGAGAGACCCTTTATGGGTTAAAACAAGTGCCAAGAGTGTGGTATAGTCGAATTGATTTGTGGTTTGGAGATCAAGGGTTTAGGAGGAGTCTAAATGATGCAACATTGTATGTGAAAGGTAATGGTGGGGGAAACATAATTGTTTCTCTTTATGTGGATGATTTGTTGATAATGGGCAGCAAAACAAATAAAATTGAAGACTCCAGACAAAGCTTGATGGAGGGATTCAAAATGAGTGATTTGGGAAGAATGAATTATTTTCTAGGCCTAGAGGTAAACCAACTTGAAGATGGTATATTTATATGCCAAAAGAAGTACACTCAAGGAATTCTTGAGAAATTCAAGATGGAAAATACAAACCTACTATGACTCCCCTTGTGTTGAATTTAAAGCTTATGAAGGATGATGGAAAAAAGAAGGTTGGTGGTAGAAGTTATAGGAACTTGGTTAGGAGCTTGATGTACTTGACAACAATAAGGTCGGATATAGTATTTTCTACTAATCTTTTATCTAGATTTATGCAGGGACCAAGCGAAGAACACTTCACAGTTGGGAAGATAGTTCTAAGGTACTTAAAGGGAACCAAGGACCATGGAGTATGGTTTAAAAGAATTGAGGAGGAAGCTGAAGGGGTTTATTGATAGTGATTGGGTTGAAAGTGTTGATGACATGAAAAGCACGATAGGGTATTGTTTTACTCTTGGCTTGGGAGTGTTTTGTTGGAGTTCAAGGAAACAAGAAATTGTGGCTCAAAGCTTGGCAGAAGACGAATACGTTGTTGCAGTATTAAACACCAATCAAGCAATTTGGATATGAAGTTGATGAAAGACTTGGGAGAGGAACAAATGGATGCAATCGTGATTGCATGTGAAATAAATCCGCCATTTCTCTTGTAGAAAATTCGATCCAACATGGAAGAACCAAACATATCAACATTAAGTACCATACTGTTCGAGAAGTGGAGAAATCGAAGGAAATCAAAATGGAGTATTGTAGCTCTGAATTAAGTGGTGGATGTTTTCACAAATTTTTTTTCGAAATCAAGGTTTGAAATGTTGAAGAACTTGCTTGGAATGGGCACCAAAAAG